ACGTCCTGTTTTTGATGCTCTGCGTTCTGTTGCTCAGAACATCCTGCGCATGCAAAGGTGTTGCGCATGAGCGAAGCGAGCACACGCACACATGTCCTCACATTTGTGAACCGGTAGCGAAGGTAAGTGAATACCACCCCTGTGCCCACCCACCGGTATCAGAAAGTGATGTATGAGGAACAGCAAAAAAACTTAGATAAGATTAGACTTACTGACATATGAGGTCTGGAGCCAGCATGTAACAGAGGTTTAAAGAGGCCATCCACATAGTGATCCAATTCTCTATGGGGAGTTGGACTATCCATGATGTCTAATTCAGAAAGGGGGAGGAGGAAGGGATAAAATCATTGTTAATCAAAGAAATAAAACTCCTGTCATTCTTCATTACCACCCCTTGCTCATTTTATTTATTTATTTATTGATTGATTTATTGATTGATTGATTGATTGATTGATTGATTGATTGGTTCGATTTATATGCCGCCCTTCTCCGGAGACTCAGGGCGGCTTACAATGCGTTAAGCAATAGCCTTCATACTTTTGTATATACCTGCTTAGTAGGGCTTTCGGCCCCCCCTAAGTGGTGTTTTTTTTTTTAATACAAAGTCAGTTTATTGCCCCCACAATCCAGGTCCTCATTTTACCTACCTCGAAAGGATGAAAGGCTGAGTCAACCTTGAGCCTGGTGAGATTTGAACTTGCAGTAATTGCAGGCAACTGGTGTTATTTAACAGCACTTTAGTCTGCTGCGCCACCAAGGCTCTTTATAAAGGCTCTTTTCTCTACCTATCCCCAATGCATTAGTTGAGTATCTCCCCATCCCACCCATATGGGGAGCTTTTATGGCTTTAGGATGCAAAGGTCAAATTCCCTCCCCATCATTCTCAGATGCCTTTGAACTCCTGACCTGAGATGGAGACTCACCTGGATGGACTGCCTTGTCAAGCATGGGAGGCAGGGGAGGTGGAGGGAAAGAAGGGGCCTTAAAGGTTGGTGCAGGAGGGATATCCAAGGACATCCTATCAAAAAAGAAATAAAAGCGAGGGTCTCAAAAGCAGAGATTTCTGGGGATACAAGAGAGAGGTTGCTGGGGACAGGTGATAATGAGGCAGTCACTTACCTATTTGGAGAGTTCTTCTGAGAGTAGCTCACATCCCTCTCAGGGATAATAGGATAATTAGAGGAGGGCTGAGAAGGGCAATTTACGTCCTCCATTTCACCAAGGAGATCCAACACAAAGTCACAGCCTGCTAAATCCTGCCATTTGTTGCCGGTGAACATTGATATGGACCATCCACGAGGGACTGTATCCAAACCCCTGAGATCAACAAAGTGAGGAGACACAGTGTCACAGGAGGTAGCAGAGGATGCTATGAAGCAGTGAAAAGGACCAGGAAGATGGTATGAGTTGGAGATAGGGAGGAAAACCATATGTTCCTCCTCCAGCTTCTGCACAACATTTCTTATGCGCTAGTTAACATCTCACATAAACAATATGTTAAAGTGCCCCAGAAAAGCTAACAGATTTCAAGTTATCATAGGGCCTATGCAACTGAGATGTAGTTGGGCTTTTGAAAATTAATTAAAGTCAAAATTAAATTAATTATTTATTAATTAATATCCAGTGGATGGATAGTCCATTAATATCAAATCTTTCACTGCAGAAGAGTCACCACTGAATAATTAGTAAGGGCCATTGAATTCAGATGATGGTTTCAAGAGTAAATGAAACACACTTTATCATTTTCCTTCAAAATTCTGCTTTCCCCAAGCTTTTGAGTTCCCTTGCAAAGCCTACAAAGTAATAAAGGATAGTTTTGTAGATCATTTGGATGAGTCTTTAAAGGAACAGGAGATCTCTGTTGGAGACTATCAAAGAATACAGCTTTTTAGCTCTGGTGGACATCTAAAAACAACTAACTGTTTAAAAAAAAAAAAGAGGCAAATCCCAATTTCTCTTTGCCTTTAGATTACCTTGAGTTCAGGATCCAGCCTGCATATAGCTCTCCTGTGGTCCAAGATTCTACTTCTGCTGAAATCCTCTCCTCTAAACCAAAGAAAGAGTTAAAAACCAATGAATATAATCTACCGTATTTTCTGGCGTATAAGACGACCCCCGACTTTTTCTGTTAAAATATAGGGTTTTGGACTATACTTGCCGTATAAGACTACCCCTCTTCCAACGCACACCAAATAAAAATTAAAAAACATCAATTGGCTCACCCACAATGTAAAAGCAGCTGTGCTAGACCCAAAATGGCCCCTGCAACAAGCAGGAACCTCACACAGCCACAAAAAGCCCCAAAAAAACAACTTTCACACTTTACACACACAAAATTCCACATACAGCTTTGTGAGATTTTGTGTGTTTGTGTAGTTAGAGTGAAACACTACAGAAACACACTAAATCTCAGAAAGCTGCACAAATATTATTTTATTTTATTTTTACTTTTATATGAAAGCTAAATTTAAAACTTCCTAAAATGGCTAGGTCTAAAAAAGAACAACTAAAAAAAACCCAATTAACTATTTTTTTTAAAGTTCCCAAAGGGGAAAAAAACTTACCCAATAGAACAGGGCTCTCCAACCTTGACAACTTTAAGACTTATAGACTTCAACTCCCAGAATTCCTCAGCAGCTTTGTTTTGCTGGCTGAGGAATTCTGGGAGTTGAAGTCCACAACTCCTTGCCTGCTTGATTGCAGGCAGGGAGTGGCTTGCTGATGGAATGGATTCAGGCAAGCGAAGCAAGGCAAGCGTTGCGACTAGCAGCTAAGGTAAGCAAGCTGGAGGGGGAAAACTTTTTTCCTTTTACATGGCTCTGGCGATCCCAGCTGAGTTGCCTGATTAGCAGGCAACTCAACTGGGATCGTCAGAGCTTGGATCACCAGAGCCATTTAAGGCTCGTCAGAGCCTTTCGGGCTGGTCTGCCTGGTTACAGGAGAACGACACCCGGCGTATAAAATGACCCCCGACTTTTGAGCAGATTTTCATGTGTTAAAAAGTTGTCTTATACGCCGGAAAATACGGTACAAGAAAATCTTGCTATACTATATAGTGCGCGCCAGCTACTCATATTTCTTTCCTATTCTCCCCGCTCCTCAAAATATATTGTTTCATATATATGTTTAATTCTATATGTTGGATTCTTCTGGGCACCTCTCTTGTAGGTACACAGGATGCCATCCTCATAATTGAAAAGACTGCCAAAAGTGAATGGGCATATCAGGTTGCAGTGTGAGCAGCTCACTTTAGGGACAAAGCAAGATTGACCGCTTACTGTTATATATTTACTCAGAAATATTGTAAGCTCTGCTTAGGTATTCCATACCACTATGTTTTTACTCCCTCCTATACCCTCAATTTTAAAACATAAAGCAGACTGAGGTTCAACTGTTATGTCTCTTTCTCCAACCTGTCATAGAGGACAGAGAGACACAGATTTCATGGTGATACAATGGGATGATTCCTGTATTTTGCTACTATAATGGCCTAGTCTGATCTCATCACCTGGATTTCTGATTTTGCTCTCATGCTAACATTGCATTATAAATTGCAGTGGGACAGGAAACCCTTGTCTCTTGGTAGACCAAAGGAAAACAATAGAACATTTTGTATGAAGGCTTGTTGTAGTAGTTATCTTGCTAATTAGACTAAAACCTTTGGAACGGAGAACTTCAGTACATTCCACATACTGTTCCACAGTTCCCTTTTTTTTAAAAAATGCTATTCCCGCATTTTAAAGCGAGACAAGAAACAATGGATGTAAAGTAATCAAGGAGAGAAGCAACCTCGAATTAAGGAGAAACTTTCTAACAGTGAGAACAATTAAGCCATGGAACAGCTTGTCTTCAGAAGTTGTGGGTGCTTTTGTCACTGGAGGTTTTTAAGAAGAGATTGGACAGCCACTTGTCTGCAATGGTGTAGGGTCTCCTGCTTGAGCAGGTGGTTGGACTAGAAGACTTCCAAAGTCCCTTCCAGCTCTACTCTGATTGACTGATTGAGTGCTGAATAGGAAAGCAACAATTACCTTCATAAGTGTAGACTTCCAGCACCATCTTGCCTTTCCTTTGGTTGGCAGTCCACTCCAGGCGGGTGGGGGGGAAACTGCGGGACAGCTCCGAGTAACTCTCCATCTGCTTCATGGAGGTTAAGAGTTTGCGCTGGCACATTCCGTTGTAGCCCTCCAGACCATGATCTGACACAAACCTACATCCCAGCAAATGAAGAATAAGAATAAGAATAATTTTATTTCTATACCGCCCTTCTCCCGAAGGACTCAGGGTGGTGTACAGCCTATTAAAAGCACAAAACAAACATCAATTAAAATAATTTAAAATTATTAAATAATTCGGCTCAATTTAAAACCCCAGAAATTTAAAACACCCAATTTAAAATTATTATGTTGATAGCCTGGCCTGGCGGAACAACAGGGTCTTGAGTGCACAGCGAAATACCCGGAGGTCGGAGATCTTACGCACTTCCGGGGGCAGTTCATTCCACAGGGCTGGGGCTCCCACAGAGAAGGCCCTCCCCCTGGGTGTCACCAGCTGACATAACTTGGCCGATTGCACCCTGAGGAGACCCTCTCTGTGGGAGCGAACTTGCCGGTGAGAGGCTACTGGTGGCAGAAGTCGGTCTTGAAGGTACCCGGGTCCTATGCTATGGAGCGCTTTAAAGGTGGTGACCAACACCTTGAATCGCACCCGGAAGACCACTGGGAGCCAGTGCAGCTTGCGCAGGAGGGGTGTCACGTGGGCACAATGAGTTGCGCCCATAACCACCCGCGCGGCCGCATTCTGGACCAGTTGGAGCCTCCAAGTGCTCTTCAGTTGGAGCCTCCGAGTGCTCTTCCATGTAGAGAGCATTACAATAGTCCAGCCGGGAGGTGACAAAGGCGTGAGTGACCGTGCGCAAGGCGTCCCGGTCCTGAAGAGCCTTCAGTAACCACTGCTGCTATTTCAATGCTTCCCGAAACCCAGGGAGGAAAAAAACCCACTTCTTACTTCAGCAGAGGCTTCTCTAGAGCTGGTGAAGGCGCGAAGGCACTCAGGAGGGTAGCCATCAATACCCAGCCTCGTTGGCATTGCTCCAGATCTGGGTTTTTCCACAGCTGGGTGGCCACTTGGCTCAGCAGCTCATTGCGTAGTGGGAGGCTGGCCAGTCCCCGGCTTGCTATGTAGTTGCCTAGAAGCTGTTCGTGGATGCCCTGCAAATCCTGGTCATTGATGAATCGCAAAACCTGCAGGAAGAGGAGGGGATGTACAATAAAAACAAGGGGCATTGATGTCAGATATAGAAGGAAAAATCAGAGTAACCTCATCTCTGACCCCTTCTTACCATCCTTGCAAGAAGTCAGGGCTAGGTTATCCCCAGGGCACAAGAGCCTGGGACTTCTTAAAAGAAAGATTTAGCGCACATACCCCACCTATTGTATAGAAATGAGGATTACATTATGGAACCTACACATTGGATAGAATGCAAGCACAGAATCAATTTATAGTTCTATTTTGGCAGGCTGTAATTCTGAAAATGTCCCAAAACTTCAGCTTTTCTTGAAAATATAATTCTTCCTCTCTATCACTAAACTTAAACTGGAGATGCCAGGAATTGAACCTGAGACTTTCTACACACTAAAATGTGAGTTCTGCCAGTAACCTATAAGTTCTGGAGATTGTTTTCCTTTTCTATCCATGTTAGCGAAGTAGGCTTATTTTTCTTATTGCAGCTGACCGGCGGTGGGATTCAAATTTTTTTACTACCAGTTCTGGGGTGTGACTTAGTGGGCGTGGAAGGGGAAGGAAACTGTAAAATCTCCATTCCCTCCCCACTCCAGGGGAAGGTTACTGCAAAATCCCCATTTCCTCCCGATCAGCTGGGACTCGGGAGGCAGAGAATAGATGGGGACGGGGCCAGTCAGAATTTTTACTACCGTTTCTCCGAACTACTCAAAATTTCTGCTACCAGTTCTCCAGAACTGGTCAGAACCTGCTGAAACCCACCTCTGCAACTGACCAAGAAATATAGCAGGAGATAATCAGATATATTGATTATTAGGAATTTAGAATTAGTGTGTTATTCCTATTCTTTCTTTTCTGTTTCTATCCTCAGAGTACTACCTGTAATATATCTAGGTATCAGCAACAGTAAAATGTGGTTTTCCTTCTTTTTATAAGAAAAAAAATCCAATTGAAATGTTTAAAAGAAAATAGTATAATTAACAATGATTAAAAAGTATGTTTTCTTCTTCCAAGATCATAAAATTATGACATATCTAGCTACATAAAATAAACACCTGATAAAGGTAATATATTAACTACATTGTTGCTGAGATTCTTATCTTATCAGTTGCCTCTTGAATGTCATCACACCCGAGTAATGAGCCACTTTCTGTACAGGCCCATTAGATAAGAACAGAAACCTGAGGACAGATAAGGACTACTCAATAAGTTTTAAAAGGCCATATGAAGTTTCTGGACAAAGTCACTTATCAAAGGTCTATTATGATAGCTTCCCAGTCATACTTGACCCACAGAAAGGTTGTCTGAGCCTTTAGGCACAATTCTAAACACAATTTAGATAACAGATCCCAAGAAATCCTGTGGTCTCGGGACAAAAAAATTCTACATAAATAGAGAGGAAATTGTGAAAACAATCGAGAGGCAAGATTTTGTTGCGAATAGCCAGAGAAGCTGCATAGGGTAGAAGAAACTCAAAATTGAGTTTTCAAAATTGCTCCCCCAGTTCCTTCTGTCCCATTCTTTTCAACAATAGCTCCATGCTGCACTGAGCAGTAGGAAGAAGGAAAGACTGGCAAATGAGAAGATGTCTTACTAAAGATATACCCATTCTCCCATCTGATCTCTGAAGTCATTTCTGAAAGGAGAAGATGGGGCTGACACTTGTACAGGATCCAGTTTAGGCACAAGCACAAACCTTTCTTGTTATTCTTAACTGCTGAAACCCACTTTTTCTAAATTCCATTATAGGCCATTGAACTACAAATGCATCTAGAAGACGTTGGGCCTGGTCGGGTCATCCCTTCCTTGGAAGCTCCTTGAAATCCTTCTATTACAGAACAGGAGTAAAAGCCTGAGTAAGACCTTGAGGCTCCTGGAAGCTCCCTCTAACCTGAAATAGCATACGATCCTCAAGAGTCTTCATAAGTTTAGTTCGTTAAATCTGTGTCTTTATTTAAATCACGTACTGGATTTAAACTGGATTTGATTTAATTTTTTTATCAAACCAGGGAAGTAGTTTCAGGTTGCAGGTTCAGTTGCTTCGTTGTTTCTTCTTACCAGCTTGTTGAGCTGTAGAGCATTTTGTCTGTGCTCAGTCTGGAGTTGGGTCAAAGGCTCTTGCAAGGGCTGTCCAAGGGCTGGAAAACTCACAATCTACAAAGGACCAAAGACAGACAGATGGTGGGAGCCATGCTCCCATGGCACTACAAGCATTTAGGTCACATTTTTTCCCACATGCATCTATTTTATTTATGCATTTATTTGTAGCCCACTTTTATTATCTTTACAAATAACTCAGGGCGGTGATCATATCCAACACACCTTCCTCCTCTTATTTTTCTCACAACAACAACCTTGTGAAGTGGGTTGAACTAAGACAGTGTGACTGGCCAATGACCACCGAGTTGGCTTTCATGGCTAAGGCAAGACTTGAACTCACAGTCTCCTGCTTGCTAGCATTTGTTGACAGGTAGGCAAGCATAAGCCAAAGAACCTTTTTCACATATGTAATGGCAGCCAAAGTTTAGATGCCCAGTAGGCTGGAAGATGAGATGACAAGGCTGCAGTCCACCTCACTCACAAGATCTACCTTGTCCATCCAACAGACAAGAAACAGGAAAAAGGAGCCTAGAGACCGTTCTGGCCATAAAGAAATCAGGAGAAACTTGTTTACTGATTCTGCAGTCTTACCTGGAAGTGAGTGTTGATAAATGTAGAGAAGGGAAAGTTGTTAATATCATGAGGGAGAGAGAAAGTAGCCTTTGCTTTGACTTCTGGAAGGGACACCTCAGTGACTTGATTACTCTGAGCATGATTGTGATCTAAAAAAGATGGAAAAGGGACTAAGTTAAAGCTCTTCCCCATGTGAAAAGCGAGTGTAAATTAACCCATGAAATGAAAAGTTATTTTCAGTTTAGGGATATGCCCATGTATTTTTCCTGGCAGCAATGTGATATAAATCTCCCATGCTGCAATGGCCAGTGTTTACATGTATGAACATAGCATGTTGCAATCAACAAGCTCCAGGAATGAGCAGATTGGCCATCCCAATCCGGGGGGCCCTCTTCAATTCCTGGAATTCATTAGCAGCATGACCGTTGCAGAGAATTTAAGGAGTGGTAAATCCATCAATATAAAGGAGACAAAGGTTGTATTACATTGACTGTGATATATTTTTAATTCCTTTTAGGTTGTCAAAATGTTATCTGGCTGAGCTAGAATAAGAATTCTAGCTAGTGGGACATGCTTATAGAATAGATGCTAGTTATTTCAGAGAATTTTTTTTTTCAGCCAAGGAATCTTGCCCACTGACTTTGACCATGGAATTATTTTTCCCCAATCCAGCAGTAGCTGAAGTCCAAATTATATGGGCTTTATAGATGGCCACTACGAAATATGAAAAGGCTGCTCAACACACTCAGTGATATTTTGGTGAACAAGGTTTCCATGTGATTACAGAAAGTCCTTGACTTGCAACCATTTGTTTAGTGACTGTTCAAAACTATTTGTTACAACTTCACTGAAAAAATGGCATACGATTGGACATCATACTTACGACCATTACAACATTTATATGGTCAAGTGATCAAAATTTGAGCACTTGGCATGTACCCTCTTTCACCCAATCGGAAAATAAGTCCTAGCATGATTTTTCAGGATGTTCATAATATAAGCCCTACCCACAAAATAAGCCCCAGTTAAGATTGTCACCCAGATGGATGCATTTAGTACCGTATTTCCCCCAAAATAAGACCTAACCGGAAAATAAGACCTAATGCGTCTTTTGGAGCAAAAATTAATATAAGACCCGGTCTTATTTTTGGGAAACACGGTATTTATGCAGTATTGGGAGGGTCATGTGATCACTTTGTGCAACCTTTCCAGATGACTTCAAACAAGCAAAGTTAATGGGATGAAATGGATTCATTTAACAACCATATCGTTCACTTAACTGCAGTGATTCACTTAACAAATATGACCAAAAGGGTTATAAAATCAGGCGTGATTCACTTTAAAACTGCCTTGCTTGGAGAGGAAAATTCCATTTCCAATTGTGGTCATAAATTGAGGACTATCTACTGTGATTGTTACTATTTCGTTGCAACCTATGAGTACGGGGACAATTGCAGTGATATGGCGAATAGTATTTCGGCTCCCTAGAGAGAAAGATGTGTCTTATAAAAATGCTGGATGTTTTCTTTTATGACTTTCTTTAAGAACTTGCTCTATCCATTTCTTCTATTTGTGAATCTATAGACGTTTACTATTTAAAAACTCAAAAAACAACCCTGCAATTGGCCAATGGGAGGGACATAGAAAGTGTTAGTCAGCTGGCTCTTTGCCTCTGTTTTTACTCTTCTCTCACATGTCCATTTTATAGTGGGAGAGAACAACCAGCCACAATGCTGAAGAAAAATAAAACTATTCCTGAGAGCAATAGGAAGAAGGGAAGAAGATGCTACAGCTCTTTGGCTTCAAGTGCGAACTCGATGGAGCAAGGAGACAGGATGAGGCAATACTGCCCCCCAGTGGAAAACCACCATTATGTATCTCCAGAGGGGATGCTATAAAACTGTCTTTGGACCACACCCTCTGGAGCAGAAGCTGAGGTGAGCTATTGGTTGCCAGATCCTCCTCATCTTTGTGAAAGGAATGGATCTATGAAGGGCGCATTACTCTCAGGTATTCTTCCTTCTCCCCTTTAATGCTTCCCAGGCATTAATAATGCTTTCTTCCCATGGCTTAATAATGCTTTACAACAGTATTCATGGGAACTGCCAAAGGAGTTTAGTGTATCAAGGAATTATCCCTAGAGAAAATGCTTGAGATGTTATCTGCAAAAAGTCGGATGATTGCGCCACAGATCCTTTTCCCCAGTTCAGGATCGGTGTGGACCGGAGACAATATTTTGTATAGAACAGCATTATCTTTCAATATAACGAAGGCATGCCTATTCAAGCACACCACCAACATGAGAATGAAAAACTAGGTGCCCCAACTGTGATTCTCTTTGCATGACTTATGTACATATACATGTCTTGATATGTATAATCTTAAGAAGAGCAAGCAGTATATCCAAGTATAATTTCAGCATTAGAAATGAAGTATGGAAGACTTCTTTTGAAAAAGTTAACATTTCCTTTAAGTCAAGTTTACCTCCCAGTATCTACATTGTTTGTTTGTTTGCTTGTTTGTTAATTTGTTTATGCCTATGTCATTGCAAGGCAACTCTGGGGAGCTTACAATATCAAAATAAATCACACACACACATACCCCTCCACACAATAAAATGATAATAAAAATACAAATTAAATTTAAATTAAATTAAATTAACATATTCATAGGATATGTAGCAATACAGTTTTGGCAGCAATGCAGAAGCAATTTGTTATTACCTTATTCCAGGATGTTTTTCAACATCCCAGTCTAGCCTATAGCTTTGGAATTCTCCTGCTTAGTTCCCAAGCTCAAACAAGGTGTGCTGAGACAGAGAGACTTAGGATAGTAAGTAACCTGTTTTTAGTCTGAGGAATTTGAATATAAAACAAACACTTTTAAAAGAACAGATGTTGCATTAAACAAGCCATCACTGTATCCACGTTGGTTAGGTGTCATTGAGTCACCCTTGACTTTTAGTGTGGTGACTTTATGGATAAATGCTCACTGTTCTAACTTGCCTCTAGAAATAATTAATAGCTCCAATAAAGCAGAATATTTGTAGCTCAGGTTTGAAATGAGGGGTCCCTGGTGCTCTCTGAGCTTGCTTGTTTTCTTGCAAACATTTTATTACTCAAACTAGGTAATATCATCAGTACTGATGAAAACAAGCAAGCTCAGAGAGCACCAAGGACCCCCTCAATTCATAGCCCCTCCAAAGACATTCCAATGATCTGTTTGACATCATATCTGTTCTTCTGTTTCTATCTTCTTTCCATTGCACAATAATTTTTCCTAGTGATCTGCTGACAATATTTCACTTATATGCAAGGCAATTGTAACATATAAAGTGAATCACACCTGATTTTGACCCTAAAATAAGACATTTGTGCTTGTTGATCACAAAAGCATCCATTCCTTTTTTGATCCAGAATGGATTGATGGTTCTCCTTGCGATCCACAGTGTACTTAATTATCATCTCCACATTTGTAATTTGAAGATGTTTATTTTCTTTCTCTCATCCTTTCTCACTGTAGAGATTTTACGATACACCTATTATTACCAGAAATACCATTGCTTTAATAATTCCATTAAGACGTCCTTCATGTCCTTTTCTATGTTTGTCACTGTCTTCTATAGGATTAAGTTCCTTCTTATTTCTTTAATAGGCTCTCTGTCTTTATTCTTGAACCAATAAAACCGAAACAATCAGTTTAACACCTTCATAATCAATTCTAAGTCCACTACTGTACAGGTAGTCCTTGACTTATTGCTGTTAATGAGAGTTCAAATTTATCACAGCCTTGAAATAAGTGATTTATAACCTGTACTTGCTTATCACTATCACACCACCCTCATGGTCATGTGACTGCAATTTGGGCACTTGGCAATCAGCTCTCATTTACAACCGGTTACACATTGAATATACATGTACCTTGGGGATTATCAAATTAAGTTCAACCTTTAAATACTTTTTCTAAATTTCACATTTAAAATGAGAAGTCATATTATCAGATAAAAACAACCTCCCTTGGATCTGAAGTACTTAGAAAATATTCAAGCAGATGGAGAACAGCAGGAAAATACTCGTGGGGGGGGATCCTAATTTTTAAAATGATCTTTAGGTTTATCTTTAAACCTGTTCTTTGGAAGTGAACTGAAAACATTTAGCAGGTCAAGGATGCCGTCTTAATTCCAATGCAAGCCCAAGGCACTCTACTCACCCTGAGCCAAGTGGAGGAGAGCTGCAAGCTCAGCAGGAATTTCGAGCCGTCGGACATCCTAAGAAGAAGAAACAGAAGTAAAGGTACTATGTTGGTTTAATTCCTCTCCTCATGTAAAATGCAGTTTATTTGATTAAATAAAAAAAATAATACTAAAACCCTCACTTTCATAATAAGCCTATACAAATAAATCATGAATCCGATTTATGAGGAAAACATTAACAATAATTTTAAAAGTCATCAATCGGGCAATTTGAGAAACATAGTATAGAATTGCATAGAATTGTATATACATTCTAAAGAAAGGAGTCAAAAGGCACCTGCCTTAAAGAGTTTATTTTTGTAGGTGGTCAAATGTCCTAGAAAAAGCACCTTGTTAAGCTTCAGTCAATTTAGGTTCATCTAATAACTTTTTTTTTCCTGGTTACTTACTGAATTTTCCATATATTTTGGATTCATGGCTCATAATTTTTTTTTTTAGATATTTAATGTTATTTTTAGATTTCCAAGCCATGATGTTGACGGTTGCAACATTCGGTATCATATCAGCTGTTGAGAGAACAAGTTCCTATTATAATCTAGCCCCAGGGGTTGTAGACTCAAATGATAAAATGATCAGTTCTAAATTGAAGCAGTGTAAGCAGAGGTAGATCTGAGCTGTCTCCACCGCATTATGTGTTAATGATGTTTTTATCTCTATTTCTGTATCTATCTATATCAGTAGTGGGATTCAAATCCCGTCGCTACTGGTTCACTCGTGGGTGCGCGTGAAGCAACCCACCACTGATCTATATTTGTCTGTCTGTCTGTCTGTCTGTCTGTGTCTATCAGCTCACAAAGGCCAGCCACAGTGGAGCCCAAGATCAGGTCAAATTGCAGTCAAACCAGGATGTATGTGAATTCTGTGATTAATCCCTTAATTGCAATGCTAGATTCTGGTTCTATGAACACTTCCTGTTCTTCATTTTTGTTCCTGGGATTGGAAGATCTTCTAGCTGGAGGGGCTCATAGAGCTATCAGTTAATATCTGTGCAGCTATTATACTGTTTTCTAAATGGGAAGGAAAAGTGGAATAAGCAATGGGAGAACACAGAAAGGATGCAAACAGAAGATAATGCCTTATAGATCAAAGCACCTGAAGGCAGGACAAGAAGCACAGGATGGAAACCAATCAGTGAGAAAACCAACCTAGAACTAAGGAGAAATTTCCTGTATAATTACTTGGTGGAATGATTTACCTCCAGAAGTTGTGGGTGCTCCAAAACTGGAGTTTTTTAGAGAAGAGATTGGACAACTATTTGTCTGAAATGGTATAGGGTTTCCTGCTTGAGCAGGGGGTTGGACTAGAAGACCCTCATAACAATTGAATAATTGAATAATTGTTATGAGCCACCTTGAATTGTATTTTTAATGGATGGCCATACAAGTCAAATAAATAAATGTCTTTGCATACTATGCCATCATACTTGGAAATTCAAAATTCACATACAGAGAGAGAGAGAGAGAAAATGTTCCCACTTCCACACATGATCCAGCAATGCACAATAATAAATGTATGCATGTACAGTTTTGGGTGTTGCCGGATGACACCCAGTACTTTATCAATTTAACCTACCATTTCCAGGCAACTCCTGCTATCTTCAGTACCTTTGACCAGTGACTTGTTTCTCTGTTTTCGGTCCTCAGACCTCTGGAACAAGGATAGTTAAAAACAAAACAAAACAGTATGCATGATCAAGCTAGATTCTTTCAAAAAAATCTTAGCACTGTGAAAAAGAGAACTAAATTCTTTGTTTCTTGTAAATTATATAGACTTATATTGCAGCATATATATTTAGTCCAATTTCCATCTTACATGAAGAAGCAATTGAAAAAATAAACAAGATGACCTTATGGAAATCCCATAGACTTTCCATACACTTTATGGAAAGTTATGTTTTCTCTCTTCCCTCACCTCTGGCTTGTCTTCCAAATTTTTACTTTCACAATTAACAATGTGTGCACTGTACTTTAGTACTGTTGTGACAATGCTATATATATACCGTACATCCACCACCCATTATCCACAGAATGTTAGTTACCATGCAAATAAATGTTCATAGCAACATCTTTATCCATTAAAAGCACGCACCCAGTTTAAAAAAGATTTTGATTTCTTCCTCAAGGAAAGAGGGCAGAGGGAAAGTGTAATAGGAATATGAGATACCATTAGCTATAGAATATGAAACTCCCAGAAGTTTTAAATGCTCAAAATAGAAATAAATCTATACCGGTATATATATACATTCAGAGAGAGAGGGAGAGAGAGGGAGAGAGAGAGAGAGAGAGAGAGAGAGAGAGAATATTTTGCTCACTCCCATTCAAACCCAAGCTCTGTTTATTAACTAGTAAGTGAATTAACATAATATTATATATGAAGTGTGTAATTGCAACTGCCAGTTTGACTCAGAAAAGGTATTCATTTCACCTTCCTCCTCTACTATTCAAACCCCTGAAGAAGGTAACTGAAAATATTTTAACTAGTTCTGGAAAAGACGCATCACGTTTCTTTTTCCTCCAAAGTGTGACAGATTGAACTACAATAACCAGCTCCTCCCTGGCTTTGTCTTTTCTGTCTATAAATCAATCTTCCCCAAAGGTACTTACCAGTTTTGCTGTTAAGTGATATATTGGGTATTTTTCCTCTTCTTCCCTACAGCCCGGTTTTTCAGTGGCAGTTAACAGATACAACTAGCTGCCTGGTTAAGACTAAAAGAGTGCTAAAGTCCTTCCAACACAGTACTGACAGGAGGAAAAAGAACAGGGAGGATCTGCAACTCTGATAGTGAACTTTGAGACCTTTTATTGTGGTAAGCCTCCCATAAAATCTCCCATGTCATACACTAAACACAGAGGGCAGGGCTGATGAAGCAAAGGCATAACCTTGCTTTGTTCCTAACACAGAATCACAGGGAGCCAGTATAAGAAGGAAGAATATGTGCAGGACACACACCTAAGCTAGGAACAGAAGTTAGAAATCCATAACAAGCTGGGCCTGCAGTGGACATTTTCCTGGTACTTTCTCGGGTAAATTATTGGATTTTATTTAATTATAAAATTTAAAAAAGCAGTTTTGGTTGCCACGATGTAAAAAAGATGTGGAGCAGTGGTGGGTTTCAAACTTTTTTACTACTGATTCTGTGGGTGTGGCTTGGTGGGCGTGGCATGGCTTGGTGGGTGTGGCATGGTGGGCGTGGCAGGAGAAGGATACTGTAAAACCTCCATTCCCTCCCCAATCCAGGGGAAGGTTACTGCAAAATCCCCATTTCCTCCTGATCAGCTGGGACTTGGGAGGCAGAGAGTAGATGGGGGTGGGGCCAGTCAGAATTTTTACTACCGGTTCTCCGAACTACTCAAAATTTCTGCTACTGGTTCTCCAGAACTGGTCAGAACCTGCTGAAACCCACCTCTGATGTGGAGATTCTAGAAAGAGTGCAGAGAAGAGCAACAAAGATGATTAGGGGAATGGAGGCTAAAACATATGAAGAATGGTTGCTGGAACTGGGTATGTCTAGTTTAATGAAAAGAAGGACTAGGGGTGACATGATAACAGGGTTCCAATATCTCAGGGGTTGCCACAAAGAAGAGGGAGTCCATAACTGTTTTCTGTTTTCACCACAGAATGCTAATCATACAGATACAGATAGTGACATATTCTGGCAACATTTGGGAGGATGGGAAAGTGTGATTACTTTATCTACCATATTCCCCATAATACACCCCCACCCACCCCCGGCATAATGTTTCTCCCGCTCACAGCAAAGTTTTGTTTATTGTTTCCTTTTATTAAAAGAGCTTTTTTTAGTCAGAAAATAAATGTAACATATAAAATTGAGGCCGCACCCTTTTGAGACACTTCCCTGTCTTTTGGACATGACCAGGTCAAACCCAGCTCCTGTCTTTGCCTAATCCTATCAGATCCAACTGACCCTCCCTGCCCCCAGACCAACCCTGCTGCAATCCCATCTAAAGCAAAGAATAAAAGCCTCCACAACAGCCCATAGCACAAGGGCAGCCTTAATAAAGGAATTACGACATAGTGAAACCTCAACTATCAATCAGAGACACTCCTCTGACTACTTTAAGATTAATTTCCTTAACAATGGGCTTCCCAAGCTCTGGTGCACGCCTGAAAGGGCTTAACAACAGAAATAACCTCATATAGGAGGAGGAGGACCTGTTCCATTTCCCCCAAAAAACTGGTAACAAATCAGATTCCTAGGATTTCCTACCTGCACCCCTCTAATTTCTATAAAAATCTTTGCTTTTCTATTGTTCAATGTTCCTCTTTCAGGTAAAGTTGAGCTTTAACAATTGTTGAATAAATGGTTGATTATTTCTCCTTTTTCTGCTAATAATGTGGCACTTCAGGAAGACAGTTATTTTTAAACTTTCCCCACTCATTGTCAATAATTTTGTTACCTTGCATTCCCTCATTTTGGGAACCAGGTTTGCAGAAACAAGTACAGCCACCCCAAAGTGTAGCAGAGTTTTCTTCAGCCTTTGGTATCGTTTTCTGAAGTTTACAAAGAAAGAGTAAAGTTAGAAAACAAGAGACTTTGAAAACCTCTGTTGGGTAAAGCCACCATAACCCATTTGACATCAAAAGTTGACAACCCAGTTGTCATCAAAAGTAATGGAGTTTCCTTCAATATTAGGAGCATTATACGGTGTGAGCCCTGCCTGCTTGATCATTGTTTCTTGACCTTGCCAGATGACCTCGGAAGTGAGCCTGGATCACTGTGATTTTCTGCCTGAAGACCTGGAACTGTCGACGGTTGATGAGCCCTCGGAGATAGCGCTGGAGGGTGACAATGGCCCATGTCAGCTTTTGATTTCGCTGCTTCTCTAGCATCTGCCATGTCTTTTCTTTCAAGAACACCTGAAAAAAAAAATAGCCAAAAGCACTGACAATAAAAAAATGGGAGGTTACCTAACACATAGATAACTTCACACCCTTACTGTGTTATTTGTCTAAAACAAGGGATAAGCGGGTGGGATAGAAGTTGTTTAATTAATTTTAACAATCTTTATTCCACTCATGAAATATGATGGCTTAAGAAATCAATGTATTTTACTATATTCATGTCAAAGGCATCTACATTTTATCAATTTGATTAATGATTCACCTTGGTCATCAAGGACAGTAAAAGAAATAGAATACAATAAAAGAATAAAAATATATTTATAGTAATTACACCAATAAATGCAGTAGCCAGCAGTCACAGAAAACTCTTTGTTAAAAAATGTTTTTTTTACCAGTAGTCTAAGAGTTAAAACAAGTGAGGCAATAAGGTATTGAACAGGTGACTAGTCTCACAATTATGCCTTTCCATATGCAATATGTAAAAAATATTCTTAAGAATGGGAGAAAAATGGATGCCACTATGCCAAGGAACAGAATGAGAATCGAAATGTGACAATAGAATCTGGAGAAATCCTTTTCAATAAAACAGCATCCTAAAATATGACCATAAGGCTCACTCTAAATTTTGGAAGTATGTGAGGGAGTATCTATTCAGGATGAGCCAGTGAAACCAATATCCATATTTGAGCTTTCTAAAGCCAAACAGTAAGGAGGCACTTAGACATCTACCTTGGTGACTCCAATCTGATAAAGCTCTGAGATATCTCCCACCACATGGGAAAGCACAGCAGCACAGCTATCTCTCTTCTGCAGGCAGCTGGGATCTTGGCCAGCCAGAACTCCATACCTGAGACACGCAAAGGAAGATAATGCTCACTTCCCAAATAACTCCAGTCTTACAAGATATAGTCAGAGAAAGTACACACAAATCCAAGCACTTCAGAGGCAAATATCTCTTATCTGACCACTGCTTGGCTGGAGCTGTTCCTCCTCCTGCCTCTCAAGGATATCCCCACAAACCATTGCAGATGTTTACTTTATGTGTCTGAGAGAATCGTACAATATCTTGGTGAGGGATGAGGTGGGGGGAGGCTCCAATTAAGATAATTAAAGGCAGAGGAAAGTATATCAATTGTAGGAGTAACTGGTTAGGTTATTTTCTTGCCTAGAAATAGCCATTCTGCCCTTTTCTCTGCCCTGCAGGTGCTGCTGCTAAATGTCAGGTCAATGAATAATATTTCTCTCTCAAATTGGCGGGGAGAGAAATCTCTCTCTCTCTCTGCCCTGCAGATTCAGTAGCAGGCTGCAGATTCTACTAGTAGATTGCCCATTCTGCTTCTCTGAATTGGCAACGGTAATCTTGAACTTGATTTTCATGGCTGGGACCCAAGTAGCAGAAGCAAAGCCTTTTCAGCGTTGAAAAGGCTATTCTCCCAGGTCAGAGGTGGGTTTCAGCAGGTTCTGACAGTTCTGGAGAACCAGTAGTGGAAATTTTGAGTAGTTCGGAGAACTGGTAGTAAAAATTCTGACTGGCCCCACCCCCATCTATTCTCTGCCTCCCAAGTCCCAACTGATTGGGAGGAAATGGGGATTTTGCAGTAACCTTCCCCGGAGTGGGGTGAGAATGGAGATTTTACAGTATCCTTTCCCTGCCACACCCACCAAGCCATGCCACACCCACAGAACCGGTAGTAAAAAATTTTGAAACCCATCACTGTTCCGGGTCATTTAATAAGATGCAAAGTTGGCTCCGATAGTTTAGACTTTTCACTGCTGTTTTTACTCTCTGTTCTGATTTATTATTTCATTGCGTATTGTTTATTTTGTATGTTTTATTCCAATACATTAGGCAATATTTTTTAAGTTGAATTTTACAAGAAGTTACTTCAAGAAAGATTAAAATGGAAGTAAACACAAATGCTTTAAATAAATTACGGTGTGCTGATACAGTAAAAAGAAGGAACACCTTTACCTAGTTAGGAAGTGGTGGAATGAGAGGCGGATAGGATAGCCTCCTTTCCTGAGACAAATGGCTTCTAAAATCCCCAAATGTCTCAATTGACAAGCCACATATTCCGTATCAAAGATGTCTGGCACCTAGGATCAATGCGCAAAAGACAAATGGAACAAAGACAGAAAAGACAGCCCAAAAAAAAATCAGTACATTAATAGCTACCCACTGTGCATCTACAAATTGCAGCTTTTCGGTTTTTATAAAAGAATATTTGTAGCTCAGTGTTAAAATGAGGGGTCCTTGGTGCTCTCTGAGCTTGGATGTTTTCTTGCAGACAGTTCACTACCTAAAGGTAGGTAACATCATCAGTGCACTGATGGGCCCCTCGTTTTGTAAAAGAAAAAACACAGCCAACTACATAAACTAATTATGTTTGGAACAGAATCAAGTGTTCTATTCCAAAAGGCCATGATATACGTGGAAAAAAGAGGATTATTGTAAAATGAAAGAAATATTTCACAATATCCTGGAACTAGGCTAAGACACTTGCCTTGCTCTTCCACAGGACGTGTTCAAGGCATCAGAGACTAAGTTACCTGATCTATTCATCTGGCTTACCTCAAGGTTGTTCAGGAAGTAGACACTTTTTCAGCCCTCACAATAGTGGCAGGACTGAGACACTGCTGCTTCCTGCCATTTCTCCTGCTATTTTGTGTGTGTGTGTATGTGTGTGTAGCAGCTGGAAAAGGATGATTTTTAAAAATGCTTTTGATGAATTGGATAATTATTCCTTTTGTAAGTATTTCACCTCTCTTATAACCAGGGGTGGGTTCTAATTTTTTTTACTACTGGTTCTGTG